TTCTCGGCAGGTATCGCCTCTGGGCTGGCCTCTCTTCGCTGGAAACGAAGCTGGGGGCGAAAAAAAAAAAAATAAAAAAAATTAATTGTTGTGTTTTACAGCGAAGAAAACGTTTGGAAGCTTTGTGACTACATCAGGAGTGGCGATCGATACCCTTTAGAAGAATTTTATGCTGTTTTCATATCCAATGACAGGAGGATGGTGAGTGGGCGTGCAGTGCCCTGAAGGTGGTGGCGGAGCCGTCCTGGCTTTTAGAGTCCATGGCCCCACGCGGGTCAGGCGTGGGCCCGGGCATTTTAGCTGCAGCCCAGCGTAGGTGAGACGTGGACCCAAGCCTTTAGGCTGCAGCCCGACCTGTAAGTGAGACATGGTCCAAAACCTTCTTGTAGCTCGTTTTGGCTCAGAGGTGTGCAAACCGTAGTGTGTAAGATCTTTTGGTTCTCTGATGCATTCAGGAACATGGGAAGAGGCACGATGCCCCCGTGAGCTGGGGGGGGTTTCTCCCCTGTAATCTGTCAGTAGGAGAACGATTGTATTACATGTTCCAGAGTAGTGTCTCCATCATGCTCTTGAAAGATAGAAACTAGAGAAAATATCCTGGCTGCAGCACAGACGTAAGCTGGTGAAGTTAGGCTAGGTTAGCAAAGAACTAACAAATTAACCTGAAATCAATCTGCATTAATCTGGGGAAGGTTTTATTACCTTCAGATTTATTCACTTACAACTTTCAGATTCCACTCTGGAAGCAGAAATCAGGACGTGGAGATGAGCCTGTTGTCTGGGTAAGGCACTCTGTTCTCTCTCAGTAATTTCGAGTGTGCACTTCTGTAGTTGATATCAACGGCATCAGACATGGGCAGTGTCAGCCATCTTTACTGTAACAAACTGTTCCATCTAAACATCAGGAAACACTTTTTTTATTGTGAGGGTGGTGGAGCATTGGAGCAGGTTGCCTGGGGAGATTGTGGAGTCTCCATCCTTGGAGATATTTAGAAGCTGTCTGGACGTGGTCCCGGTCAGCTGGCTATAAGTCTCCCTGCTCGAGCAGGGGGTTTGGACCAGATGACCTCCAGAGGTCCCTTGCAACCTCAACTGTTCTATAGTTTTGTATTAATTTTTATTACTCTTTTACAACAAATTTATAAAGAGCCTAAATCTGGTGCTTTTTTTTACCCTTCATAGTAAATTAACAGTGAGACAGTCAGTAAAATCTACAAGTGACAAACATTAACATTGGTAAGCGTACATAACAGACTTGTGAGAATGATTATCTGGATATTGTTGAGGCTACTAGCTTTGTAGAATTTTAAGTAGATGTCTGAACTTGTAAGAAGTAGATGTGTGAAAATATCCATGTAGGCCTGACAGAGGATAGAAAAAATATAAGCATTATGTGTATTCAGGTGTCAACAATTAAACTGACCGATAAATGGTGGCTTTGGAATGTTATTTGTTCAATGAATGTAATTCAGTAATTGCCACTGCAGAATTCCTTTCAAATATGTGTCATTACAGAGTTCTTTTAGTTAACTGGTATGGAAAAAAAACCTCTATTTTTTTGTGGCAATTTCTGTTTCTGAAATTCTGCAAAATAATCTGCAAACTTCTGAAGTTCTGTGATTCCTGAATCATTCATTCACTCCCAAAATATCAGTATACTTATAGTACAAAAAAGGTTTCGTTTAAAAAGAGATCCAAGTGTTATGAAGGTGATCTAATAGGAGAGTTGGGAAAGGCCACCACAGAATGTAGACTTCTGATAAAAACTCATGGATCGAAAGGTGTTTTAACGTTGATGTTTCAGTGGATCATGGGATGTGTAAAGCTTGTAGTTAATTTTTCTTATACCCTGTAATGGTTTCTTCTAAATACTGTTGCATACAGTTGTACATGTATATTGGTCTGGCAAAATAGCTCGCCTAAGATCCTTTTCATTCCAATCCCTTTGTGGTTAGGATTGTTTAATATTGAAAGTGTCAAAAGATGGTGCTTTGAACTCCTTTTGTGAGTGGATTTAATGTAAGCTTTAGTAAGCTGTTAACAGCTACCTTCAATTTGATTTTGGAAAACAGCAGTGTATGTACCTGACACCTAACATAAGTAACTCTCACGTCTCCAAACCTGTACCACACCTATGTTTCCTGCACCTCAGAACCCAAGAGTCAAGATAAAACAGTTACCTTGAAAAAGTGTGATGTAGTACCCACAGGTGGTTTTGCCCAGCTTCAAGACTTACTACAGCAATTCATCTTACTCCTGTGTTCCTCTTGATAAGAGCTGTTTGCTGCTTTTTGAGTTGCATGCTGGTTTTTTAGCTGCTTCTGGCAGCTAAATACTCGGCACTCAAATTCACAGACCATGTTGCCGCTGTTGCAGTAACATCTCTTACTAGAAGAGATCACTAGATAATTTTAGTGTTAAGCTATCATCTTATATTGTTGTGAGCTTTTATTTCGGACTGGGTCTAAGACAAAAACGCTTATCCCACTCAACTTCTCTGTTTTGGTGTGGGGCGTGAAAGAGATTTGCTGGTTTCTTAGGAGTAGTGTGCACTTGAGTTTAGCTGTCCAGCCTTCAATCAAAGGAGGCTACAAAGGGATGGGGAGAATACCAAGGCTTCTTGAAAGGCACGATGGGCAATACAGGCATTAGGAAATCTCTCCTGGTGCCGGAAATGTTACAGGCTTAACACTTAAATGGCAGAAAGCAGGATTTAAAGAAAGAATCATAGAATCATAGAATGTTTAGGGTTGGAAGGGACCACTAGTGGTCATCTAGTCCAACCCCCCTGCAGTGAGCAGGGACACTGCTAACTAGATCAGATTGCTCAGAGCCCCATCCAACCTGGCCTTGAATGTTTCCAGGGATGGGGCCTCCACTACCTCTCTGGGCAACCTGTTCCAGTGTTTTACCACTCTCATTGTAAAAAATTTCTTCCTTACCTCTAGCCTGAACCTACCCTGTTCTAGTTTAAAACCATTTCCCCTTGTCCTAACACAGCTGGCCCTATGAAAAAGACGTTCCCCATCTTTCCTATAGGCCCCCTTTAGGTACTGGAAGGCCGCAATCAGGTCTCCCCGTAGCCTCCTTTTCTCCAGACTGAACAAGCCCAACTCTCTCAGCCTGTCCTCATAGGAGAGGTGCTCCAGCCCTCGGATCATTTTTGTAGCCCTCCTCTGGACCCGTTCCAACAGTTCCATGTCCTTCTTGTGCTGAGGGCTCCAGAGCTGGACGCAGTACTCCAGGTGAGGTCTCACCAGAGCTGAGTAGAGGGGCAGAATCACCTCCCTCGACCTGCTAGCCACACTCCTCCTGATGCAGCCCAGAGTACGGTTGGCCTTCTGGGCTGCCAGCGCACATTGCCGGCTCATGTCTAGCTTTTCATCCATCAGTACCCCCAGGTCCCTCTCGGCAGGGCTGCTCTCGATCCTTTCTTCCCCCAGCCTGTATTGATACTGGGGGTTACCCCAACCCAGGTGCAGGACCTTGCACTTGGCCTTGTTGAACCTCATGAGGTTCACACAGGCCCACCTCTCCAGCCTGTCCAGGTCTCTTTGGATGACATCCCTTCCTTCTGGTGTGATCTGTAGGATCTGTAGCTTCTGCTTTTAGGAAGCTTTTTTTTTTTTCCACTCCCTTTGTCAGTTTCGCACTAACAGCTGTTTACAGCTGTTACATTTAACTACATGTAATTACATTTTGTTAATTACATTAACTACATTTTAACATTACCCTTCTTCCCAGGACTACCATGTTATTCTACTTCACGTTTCCAGCGGGGAGCAGAACTTCATTTATGATCTTGACACAGTGTTGCCGTTTCCATGTCCTTTTGACGTGTACAGTGTGGAGGCCTTTAGGTTGGATGACAGCCTTCGTCCAGAATTTCACAGGTGATGACATAAAATATAAAGACCATGAATGTTATTTCATGAAATCAAAAGTTGAAGTTCTCTTTGTGGATGGGTAGTGACAGAGGTCTTTTTGCTATACTCCAGTAAAATAAATGCACTGTGTTATTTTTCTAAAGCTTAGATGACCTTAGTCATCAAAAGCCCTTTTCTGTCCTACTGTAGTTTCTTGTTAACTAGTTAACTGCTTGGCACAATATTGCTTATTTATATATTTAATGAAATTAATGCTCCTTGATGCTTGCTCTTGTTCTGAGTGACTAATGCAGTATTGTATATGTGCATCTCTTGATACAATTTTGCATTACTATTCAGGAAAATCAGAATTATTCGAGCAGATTTGTACTTGAAGACATTTGCTTCAGACAGATCTCATATGAAGGATGCAAATGGGAAATGGCAGAAACCTCCTCCTTCATACCCTTGCATTCAAACTGCAGGTAAGCTGCCAGAGCTCCTGTTTCCTGCTTACAGTGTTGAATAACAGTCCAAGATGCACACAAGAAATAAATATGCTTCCATAACATGTGTCTGGAAGCACATCCAGCTAGCTGGCATGGTTTAACCCCAGCTGGCAACTAAGCTCCACACAGCTGCTTGCTCGCTCCCCTCCTGGGTGGGATGGCAGAGAGAACTGGAAGAGTAGAATTGAGAAAACTCATGGGTTGAGATAAGGACAATTTAATAGGGAAAGTAAAAGAAGTCATTAATTCACTGCTTCCCATGGGCAGGCAGGTGTTCAGCCATCTCCAGGAAAGCAGGGCTCCATCACGCATAACCGTTACTTGGCAAGACAAACGCCATCACTGCAAATGTCTCTCCCTTCCTTCTTCTTCCTCCAGCTTTATATGCTGAGCATGAGATCATACGGTGTGGGATATCCCTGTGGTCAGTTGGGGTCAACTGTCCCGGCCGTGTCCCCTCCCAGCTTCTTGTGTCCCCCCAGCCTCCTCACTGGTGAGGTGGGGTGAGGAGCAGAAAAGGCCTTGACTCTGTGTCAGCACTGCTCAGCGGTAAGGAAAACATCCCTGGGTTATCAACGCTATTTCCAGCACCAATCCAAAACATAGCCCCATACTGGCTACTATGAAGAAAATTAACTCTATTCCAGCCAAAACCAGCACAGTAGCTTATTATTTCATATGGAAAAATATAGGGCTATTTAGCACTTACAGGGCATTTAGCACTTCCTCTTCTAAACATGTGAAGTCTAGCATGCCTCCTGGCATTTACTGTTATCAAACGTTAATTACTGATCTTCATAAACTGAGCAGAGGATGGGAGGTAAGTAATACTTTTCTCTCATTACAGCAGGGAACTGAAGCAAAGAGGCCGAATAACTTGCTTAGGGGTTACAAAGGGAATTTTTAACACACTGATTATACAACACACTAGCTGGCAGGTCCTGTCCTGACAGAGCAGGTTATTTTGACAGGAGGAAGTTTTCAGGCTCTGCTCAGTGTGCTGGGTTTGCTGGCATGAGATATTTGAGGTTTCTCTACCAGGTGAATGGACCTGAGGACACTTTAAGGCAAACTGGCAAGTCAGCAAATTTTTCCTGAAGCCTTAAGCCTCTTTTAAGTGGTAGCCTAGATAATAGGCTCTGGGCCAAGCAGAGGGAGAAGTAAACACTTGCCATCTCTTCTGTTCTCTAGAGCTGCTTAAACTATGCTTATCACACAGCATTTGAGCTTATTCTAATCATGTGTTTGGCAAGCTGGCTAACATTCCCCATGTGTGTGTGTTCTCTCATTTTCTTCCCAGATGGAGAAAAGTGTGGTGAAGTTTTGCTTTGAAAGAGTTTTCATGTTATTGTTGCTTTTTTAATAATGCAGTACTGCTGTGTATTTATGTTGGAGAAGGCAGGGTCAAAGAAAAAAGTTCTGTGTTTAGGTCCAAGTTTGCTGTGGTTTTAAGTTGCTGGGAAGTTAACTCTTGATCTTTGTTTTGGCCTCTAAGGAAGCTTGGTGTTTCACACTAGAGTAGAAATTAATTATGAATGTGGGCAGGAGCACAGATGTAGTCTTCGTTGTGAAGCTTTAGTTGTTTTCTAGAGAATCGAGGTTATGAAGCACCTTAAATTTTATGTCTTGGTCCTTATCTTCAGTAAAGGTCTATACAAAGGTGGTGTAGCAAGCGGAGAGTGCCTGGACTGCAGTGGACGGTTCACTGTTAATTGGAGCCTCCTAGGTGCTGAGCACTTTCTGCCTGAGGAAACCTTATACTTGTGATAGTTGAGAGCTAATGAAAGTGTGAGGAATAAAGATCAGGCCAGACCAGGAAGGTGAAAACTTCTACTCAAATCAAAACAGTAGAAAATATCACTTGCAGATAGTAAGTTACAGAATGACTCAGGCAGTTGCAGGTGTGTACATGTACCTCCAGCTGTAGTGAATGACTCCATAGCTGCAAACCTTGTAACTCTCCCCTTATCCATCTTGCTTGACTGAGCTTTTACCTGACTGATGCACAGCAGCCACATGGTCTCAACCAACCTCCAGATTGTCTCTGCAGTGTTAATAGGTAGTGAAAGATACGCAGATCTTCAATTTCTCCCATGCTTTATTTCTTTGCCCTGTACCTTGCCACACTGAAAGGAACGTCCAGAGGTCATCCAGTCCAACCCCTGCTCAAAACAGGGGTTCCTTAGGACTCTATCCAGTCTCACTTGAACACTTCCACGGATGGAGATTCCACCATCTCTCTAGGCAATCTGTTCCAGTATTTGACCACTATCATGGTAAAAAAAAAAAAAAAAAATTTCTTTGTACCTAATCAGAATTTCTGATGTTCCAACTTCTGTTCTTTGCTTCTTGTCCTGTTGCCAGGCTCCTCCAAGAAGGCTCTGGCTCCATCTCCTCCTTGTCCTCCAATCAGATAGATCAGCAGAAAAGTCTCCCCTTCACCTTCTCTCTTTAAGACTGAACAGGCCCAGTTCTCTCAGCCTCTCCTTGAATATTGTGTTCTCCCATCCCATACAACTTGATGTTCCTCTTCTGGGCTCACTCCAGTATGTCAATGTTTTGGGGTGGTTTTTTTTGTACTGAGGAGCCCCAAACTGCGCACAGTATTCCAGCTCTGTGCTGACACGCTCTGGTCTCCTGGTCAGTTGGCTGAACGTTGCAGGTGAAGGAAACTGGTTACCTTGCGCCTGCTGAAGGTGGAAGGTCTTTCACAAGGTAGCTTCAAGATCTGGGTCAGAACAGGAGTAGATTGCATCAGACCTAGGATGGTCAGTTCAAGTTGTCTTTCATTCAGTACCAGTTTCTCCAGCTTTGTTTTTTGTCTTCCCTGTATTCACTTGAGATACCTTGTAATGATGCGTGCTTCAGTGTGCACAATGCTGGGAGTCAGTGAGGAGTCTGGGTTTAGCTGTCGTGGAACAATCGTGTGCTTTAACTTTTAGCTGAATCTAAGTCCTGTGCTTCAGTGATGTGGTTCCATAGATGAGCCCGTGTTCTGCAGGCCAACATACAGGTTTAGAAAACGTTGCTGTCAGCAAGTGGAACTGGTAATTCTCTCTAAAGGAAGAGACTGGTAGAGTAATGTCTCAGCACAGTTTTATCAGGCATAAAAGCACCTTATGTTATCATAAAAGAGCCTGGGGTATTAATGTTCACATCCATGCCAAATTCCATTGCAGAAAACTGTTTCCTCCCTGTTGTTTCACCTAAGATAGAGTATTCTGCTTTCCATGTTAATTTGTGTTTGCACAAGATTAAATTGCTTACATATTTAATGTTAGAGGTGACTGCACTTCAATGGCTGACAGAATTGACCACATATTGGTTTAGTATCAATTTATTTGTGAGGAACATTTAGATTATAGTATTATATTAATTTTTATATTATTAATTAATTAGTTTGCTGCTGTTTAGAATAGCCAAATTCCTAAGCTCTTGAGAAGATAATTACAAAAGCTGTGGTGGGTTGACCCTGGCTGGACTCCAGGTGCCCCCCAGAGCTGCTCTGTCACTCCCTTCCTCAGCTGCACAGGGGAAAGAAAGCATAACCACAGGCTCGTGGGTCAAGATAAGGACAGGGAGAGATCACTCAGCAATTGCTGCCATGGGCATACAGACTTGACTTGGGGAAAATTAATTTAATTTATTACCAATCAAATCAGAGTAGGATAATGAGAAATAAAACCAAATCTTAATACCTTCCCCCCACCCCTCCCTTCCAACCCTTGTGATTCTGTGATTCTTCCTGGGCTTAACTTTACTCCAAATTTTCTCTCCCTCCTCTCCCCAGCAGCGCAGGGGGATGGGGAATGGGGGTTGGGGTCAGTCAATCCCACGCTGTCTCTGCTGCTCCTTCCTCCTCAGGGGAGGACTCCTCACACTCCTTCCCTGCCCCAGCCCAGGCTCCTCTCCCCATGGAGCCACAGGCCCTGCCAGGAGCCTGCTCCAGCCTGGGCTTCCCACAGGGTCACTGGTACTATTGTGTTGCTACAATTTGCTATGTGTTAAAGCCTATTAATTACATTTATATGCACTGCTCTGTGTATCCCACGAGGTTTTTAAGCTTTTAATACCCTTGAAAAGGAGAGCATGTTTACTCTTGATATTAAAATACTGCCTCTTCTAGAGCAGGGCAGCTGTTAAGCCTGAATATAGCACTTTGGAAGAGTCAAGCATAAGTTAAACAGGACCATAGGTAGGATAATGTAATTACCCAGTGTGGAGCTGGGACAGGATACTTGGACCAGTGATACTTTTTTATGAAATACACTAGGAAATGTTTAATGGCCACAAAATTCCTTTTGGAATGGAATCAAGGAATCTTCATCAGTAACCAGTTCAGTATTTTTATTTCTTAATTCTTAATTCTCAAAAGGAATAATTCTTAAACTGGTGCTGCTCATGGGGTTGCAAAATAAAGCCTTCTAAAATAAGCTTGAGTCATAAATTCCAGTCTGTGCTTAGATGAAGTTTTTTTAAAGAACCTTACTAGCATTATTAAAACCCCCCCAAACACCACAACCCCAAACCAACCAACTGAACAAAAAACCTGAAACACCTCAATGTCTCATCAGAAATCACATGCTGAGTGCTAGGATTTTGCAGCTGGCTCTGGTCTAGCCATTTCCCAGAGCTAGGCCTCTCTGTTTCTTATGGACATTGCTCTGGCCTCTGTTCTGCTCGCCTCCCATGCGTGCTTGGAGAAGCTGGCTGACCTAACTGAGTGCGTGGTGCTTTCTCACCCAGCCCAATCCTCAAAGCAGTTCTGCTGGAATAAGCATACCTGAGCTGCAGCAGATTCCCCTGGTCCCACCTGGTTGCCAGTTGAAAGAAAACCGGGGCGAGTCTGGTATTTTGTTCAAATAATAAAAATTCAGAAGATGCGATTTGGTGCACAGAATCATCATTCATCAGCTGGCGAGCCTGGCCTGGGGATTTCTTTTAAGTCTTCTCTCCACAAATTAATGAGGTCTGAT